TTCAGGCAAATCAATAACATTTCCTCCAGAAGAGTTACACAGTGCACATTTAAGCCTACAAACAAACAGACAAACAAACAGCACTAAAGCTTAAGATTCAGTATCTGAGCACATTAAAATGAGGGACCCTATAAACCCTGTGGAAATACTGAGTGCTACTGTTGTGCTTATGCTCAATGAATATTTGAGTACGCCACTGTTTTGATGTAAAGCTAAAGTGTTCAAAAGGTCTATGAATGTTTATAGAAAACGCTGTGATAAAATGAATCTAAAAGTATCTAAATTGCTTCGCACTGTGCAGTAATATGGGCACCTTTAGTTACAGAGTATATCAAATGCCACCTGCGCTGACATTAACAAACACAGCACACCTGGCTTTTATGAAAATGCACTCACCACTAACACGTCCATCTGACAAAGTGCCCGTCTGAACGCTCGCTGCTTTAGCCCTTTGCTCTGTAATGGAGATATAACCATACGTGAAAGCCAAGCTAGCTTCTACATCAGCCTGAAAGAACTGATCAGATTTAGTTGAAAGAAGTCAAACTAAGAAACACTTTTTTTTTCTTTCTTTTTTTTCTTAATGTTTAAAGTAGAGAAACACACTAGACTATAGATGAGAACTAAACCAGGACTAGAACTGAACCAAACCAAATCAACATTAGGACTTAAACTGGGCCTAATTAAGGATTAGGGACCAAAGCTGGAAAATTGCAAAAATTGTCAATTTCTGTCTATTGTGATACCAACTGGTCTTGATGACACATTTTAGACTTTGACAAAAGGTGGTAATCTTTACTCAGTTTTGTGTTGAAGCTATTTTGTCAGTGATTCAAAACACAAGTTGTAATGTAACACTATAAGAGGTGGACAACACACATGTCTGAGGGGGTGTCAGACCTATTCAGCTATTTCCTATTGTGTACAGTACAGAGAGTCCAACCACACATCTTTTGCTTATTCAGGGCCAAGTTGCCAGATTCTGAGCAGACATCCGCGCCACAGTCCCTTTCTGCAGTTCTTTCAGGGGCACCCCAGAGCATACCAGGCCAGCTGAGAGACAGAGTCCCTCAAGCGTGTCCAGGGTCTTCCCCGGGGCCTCGTCCTGGTGGGACATGCTCGAAACATATCCGTCTCAGCTAGGGCTCTGACTCTACTTGACGTGGAGAAGCAGCAGCCTTACTCAGAGCTCCTTTCGTGTGAACTTCTCACCCTATCTCTAAGGGAGCACCCAGCCTGCGGAGGAAACAAATTTCAACAGCTTGTATCCGCAATACACTGACAGTCATGTCTGGTTAACTGTCCTCCGCTGCAGGAAATTCTGTAAATTTGAGGGTTTACAGACAAGCACTTTATAATGGACTTTTTTTTTTTTTTTATCTATAATCTATAGGATAATGAATGGGGGTTTTACTTACAGACATAAAAACAGAGCAGGGCAGTTCCAACACACCTTCTATCTCACCTTCCACATTAACATGAATTTGTTTTGCTCTACTGAAGAACAGTTTTTTTCTTTTAGACTGTGCTGGAAATGACTGTATATAAAAGTTCCTTGTGTCTTTTTTTTTCATATTTTCTTCCATGCTTACAAATCTATCTCTCCATTAGCCGTATTAGGTCCATTGCTTTTCTCGGGATACATTTGGAGACCATGCTTGTTTGATCTACTGTATGATCGTTATGCTTTCATGTACTGGCGACTGGCGAGGTTGCACACTTCCACTGAAAACAGTTTTTATCTTTTTAGATAATTGGCTCAATGTTTAAAGATTTCAAATGCGATGTAAAGAAACCATGAGTGTAGTGCTGTATAGGAGATGAGAAGCTTTGTCTTCTAACACTATTCATAAGTTAAGTGTGTAAATTTCTTTTAATGTAAGCTGCTGTTCATCTGTGTACTCATCAGTAATGAAAGCAACATTTATAAAAAAAATACTACAACTTATAATAAAAATACACATAAAAGGAAGGAACACTCATTTTAGAGTTAAAAAGAAAAGTACGCATTATTATTAGTGCACTAGCTAAAAAAAAGTTGTTTCTGAGTTTGTATCTAAGTATCTAAGATAATATTTAGTTATGATATTTAGTTCATTTCTACAGCAACGGTGGCAGCTTTTTACTACTGATAGATAAATGGATAGATAGAAAATTTTAGTTTTTATTTTTAATTGTATTCTATTTTAAGTTCCGCCCTCCTTTCTCTTAAATCCCCACCGTCATTTGTATTCATCATCTCCAGTTTATCCACCCCTCCACAATGCCCCATAATAGGTTTTGTGCTTATAAGGTGTTGTAAGGTTTCTTTTTCCAATTACCATGGAGTCATTTCTCCAGCACTAATCTCCGGGCCAGGAATATAGGCAGCTCCCCCATCTTTGATTTAACGCTTCGCATGAGTCTGGAGGAGTCGGGGCGGTGGACATTCTGGAGAGTCCCCCAGGCTTGCGCTGCGTTCACCTAGCGACTGCTCAGCCTCTTCGGTTTAGTGCCGGTTTATGGAGCATGGGATGAAATAAACCCTTTTTTGGTCCCTTAACAAAGATTGGTGGCGTTACTCGCACTAGACTCCGGGAGAAGTGCGTTCAAGGATGAGGAGTTCCTGAGATGGCGAATGAGGGAGGAAGAAGCTGGTTAAATACATCTTAAGAGGAGGGAGACAGAAAAGTGAGATGATGGTGACGGTGGAGGAAACTGTAACAGAGAAGTCAGGTTTAAAGATCCTAAAACCTTTTATTGAGATGTGTATCATTCCTGTACATAAAACATGTTTCAGTTCAGCATTTTACAGAACAGGAAACAACTGTCTGTGAATCAGACCAAAAAACTGTGTTACTTAGTCAGTGTTTTTTTTTTCTTTTTTGTTTGTATTAGGACATTAGTAGGGAGTGACCAAAATCTGACTGACCACCCTAGACGTAGGTACCACCGCATAAAAAAAACATTAAAAAAAAGTCTGGAAACACCCACCTTTTTTGGAAAAGTCTGTACATAACGTAAAACGGGGGTGAAGAATTTGAGAAGACATTGACAACAGGTGTACACTGACTGCAAGGGTGCTGTTCAGGAGTCACCCAAAGACTTAGGCTACGTTTAAATGATAACGGTCTGAACAGAAGAGTGACATCACGTCTTCACTTTTTATTCCATGTTTGGACAAGTGTTTTGGAGAGGAAATCTGCGCGCATCCGGTGATGTGTGTGTGTGTGTGTGTGTGTGGAATTCGATTGGGTATGCATGCCAGGCGACTTGGTGGTGACACTAGGTGGTGATGTATGTGACGTAAAAGCATATGCGACCTGAGCAGATCTGACCAAAGTTTTGCGTCTTGGGCACTGAAGACGGAAACGCTATGGCGGAGCGTATTGGTTTCAGATTTTTCCATTTTTAAGCCCCAAAAATACATTATCATCTAAACCAGGGTGTCAAACTCAAATTCACAGAGGGCCAAAGTTAAAAACTGGGACAAACTAAATATTTATTGAAAAATCTGCATGTTTTCTCTTCTTTCGAGATATGTAATATTAAACCTTTTTCTTATTAAAATAAATCTGTAATAATAGTTTTGCTTAAACATTGATTCAAGAACAAGCATAATGAAAAATAATAACAGAATTTTAAATAAATAATGTCTCTACAGCTCTAATACACATTTGATATGATCTCACGGGCCAAATATAATTATATCACAGACCAAAATTTGGTCCCTGGGCCTGACGTTGACATGTCTGGTCTAAACAAAAGGTACTTCCGATAAAATATTTTGGCGTTTTTACCCGCAAGCATTCTCGTGTACTCAGTCTTTAAAACCGATGTTCCCACCCAAAATGACCTCTGTCTCACTGCCATGCTGCCACACTGACCTCTGCTTCCTGCCACTCTGACCTCTGCCATACTGACCTGCTACACTGACCCCTGCCACCTGCCACACTGACCCCTGCCACTCTGACCTCTGCCACACTGACCTCTGACCTGTGCTCCCTGCCACACTAACCTTGGCTGAGTACAGTTATGGGTCTGTGGTTGCTGGACAACGTTTTTTAAATCAGTGGGCATGTGTTACCTCGTGATATCGGGCTGCCTTTGTCAAACATGCACCACTGTTGTTGTAGTTGGTTTAACATGTATTTGTGTCTATGTAAACCCACGATGAGGGTTTACACGAATAACTCGATCTTGCAATGCTGCCCAAACTTTCTAAAAAGCAAAGTCTCTTCTCTCATATCATCAACTCATATAATTTCCTTTTGCATTACATTTTTGACACTGAAGTGTGATTCATAAGCAGCATTTGTTTTATTTTTTTACATTCTAATAAAAATATGGAACACATGGTTGAAGACCACCTAGCATGAATGACCACAATCAATAACCTTCCTAAGGCACAGCATCTGCTCCATTCTATTCCAGTGTGAAATCTTTCCAATGAAACGCTCCAAACACGATTCCATTACAGCTCCAAGCCCGTCGCGCTGCCCACTAAATGAGCTGTGATGGCACTATGACAACGCCATGTGCAAAAACACTATTAGTATGTGAATCGGCGTGCTGTTTATTATCGGGATATCTAAAAAGTAATGAATACATCACTGGTGTCTAGTCATGCCGAATACAGACCACTTCCAATGTGCGCGCTTTATCCACAATCCCACCATTTATGCTTAATAATAAAAGCCGCTGGGAAAGAAAACATTCAAAATGCAAATTGATAACCTAGCGACCAGCACTCTACCTCTCTCACACAGACACACACAAACACACACATACACACACACACACAGACTCCACTCATTGGGAACACACCCAGCCTGATTAGATATGGGACCAGTGGTGGAAAATCAATTTTGTGAGATTCAAACCACTAAGGCAAAGAGGCAAATGCTTATCACTCTATTATTTATTAACCACCTGCTATAAAAGGTTATATTGGGTATAAACAGTCAATTGAAATGCAGAAAAAAATAATTACAGAGCGTATAACATTGAATAGACCCGCTTAGATGACTATGAAACTCTTAAGTGGACTGAAATAAATAAAGAGGGTTGTAGAAAATGAAATAATGCATAAACAAATCGATAAAATTCAATATTATGGGCACAGATAGATGCATAAATAGCCCATTGTATGATTTTATATTGCAGCTAGTTAAGATAATGAGACATATATTAAGCCATGTACCCAATTTTAGTCAAAGATAGTTGTATGTAGTTGTGAAGGCATGGTTCTCACACAGCACTTAGACTGGATGAAATTGGCTCTTCATAAGATTTTATTTTATTAATTAATTTATATTTGTTTTTATATTTTGTGATTCTGATTCTCTTTCAACAGAGATGTGGCCAAGTTAACAGTCAACACAATCAATACACAACAATGAAATCACACAATAGCACATTATAAAAGCACTTGCATCTCTCAATAAAAACATACACGCATCTTATTCACCACACGTTTTACAATTTAAAAATACAGGTCCTTTCACTTTTTATTGATAAGGGACACATGTATGGTTTGAAGACTGGTTCAGAGCATCTCCAAAACTTGGGGGTATTCCTGGTTTATCTAAACTGGGCAGACTTTTGCCTTCTGTAGTCAATTAACTTTAAAGCTGATAGAAAATACACAATAAAGTAACAAAATACATAGGTAGTCAGTGACATTGTAATAATAATTTAACATATAAAAATGTGGTATAACGTGGCGTGGCATAACTTTCTTCATTTTGCCATATATCCTCTCACTGAAAAAAACAAACAAAATGACAGCCATTTATTCCTTTTAAATATTAACACATTGTTCTAAACAGGTATAATTTTGTATTAAAGGTCCTATGTTACACACAACTGATTCTTGTGAGCTTTAGCCGTGTTATATAAAATATACCTGGAGTTGTTTTGTTTCATTCACACGTTTGACTAATCCTTTATTATTGTCTACATCTCCAAAGCTTAAAATGGTTTTCTAGACCTTGTGACGTCATGTAGTGGTAGTTTTCAAGTTGACTTTTACCTTTAGTTCAGTAAAATTGGGCAAATCCAGGGCTGCAATCATCCCAGTGATTTTAGTGAAGGTGTATGGACTTTAAAAACACAGTGGAGCACTTCTTGTACTACCACATGACATCAGAAGGTGGAACAGAGTATTTTATGTTTGAGAGGAGAATTCAGCCTAAATATGCAGGGTTTGTGTGTTAAATATGTGTGAATGAAACAAAAACTGCGGGTATGTTTGTGATGAGGAAACAACATTATAACATAGATCAGAAAATAGAATGTTTAAATGTTACGACTCACCAAACAGAGGATGCATGATGACGTATGCGTGAGTCTCATCACTTATCATGCTTTCTGGTGTTATTTTCCTGCTTGGTCACAAAAAATACTTAGATACTATAATAAAAACAGAACAAACTTAACATGTGAGTGACATTACTGACCTGTCAAAGCATTTGACTGTTTGAAAAATAAGAAACATTTGTCAGTATATTTTGTGATTTCTATCACATATTTGACACTTTTTCTTACTTTTTGTCTCACCTTTTATAAAGTATAGCAGCACTAGAAACAGAACTAGTGACAAGATCCCAATAGCCATGTATAGCGCCACATATGAAGACTTACAGTCTGAAACTAAGGATCGAATGTTATTTTCACTTTAAGTTTGGGTACTAGGGGCAAGCTATATATATGCCAAAAACTTTGTACTATTTAGAGCATAGATCTTGTTTTTTTTTTTTTTCCACAATGCATGTACATTTAAAGGTGCACTTTGTAGCTTTTTTAGTGTAGGGTCATCACCTGCTTTTCTTCATGGAGATATTATTGCTTTGTCTAGAATGCTCCACACCTTAGATTAAACCTATCTATCTCAAGGGACACAACTATTGGCTACATTACAGGTCAGATCTGTGAAGAGTCGCCCTTATTCCAGAGGTGGGACCAAGTTGTTGTTTTGCAAGTCTCAAGTAAGTCTCAAGTCCAAGTTAAGTCCCAAGTCAAATACAGGCAAATCCAAGTCAAGTCTCGACTCACTGGCCCATAAGTCCAAGTCAAGTCCAAGTCATCTGCTTTCAGCTTCAAGTCATTTCAAGTCTTTAAACCAAAGTACCAAATATATCTTAGATTTTTGCAGTTTATATGAATTTTAAAATAACTTGTACTTTAAAAAATCATATTATATTTATATATTTGTATTTGTAGAGTATGTAAGAGTTGTAGAAATGTATTTTTTTTCCTTTTAAAATGTCTTGTGTGAATCATTATGATCAGATTTCTGATTTAAAAGTGCTTCTCAAGTCTTAAGTCACAGGCCTAAAGTCCAAGTCAAATCCCAAGTCACTGACCTTCAAGTCCAAGTTGAGTCCCAAGTCTTAGTCCATTTTATCAAGTCAAGTCTCAAGTCCTAAAAATAGTGACTCAAGTCTGACTTGAGTCCAAGTCACGACTTCGAAGTCCCGACCTCTGCCTTATTCACAAAGAGAATTATTGTATTTTTACAATATATATATATGTATTTATACAATAGAGACGCCCATAATGAACAAACCCAAGATAGATGTTTTTATTTTAATGTCACACCATGGACCATTCCTGGCAAAACAATAACATCTCCATGGATACAAACAGATGACAGACATCCCACTAGAAAAGTTGATCTATTGATACTGTTTTAAGGATGCAACTGAACTTCTACATTGCAGCACTCAATAGCAATATGACAATTTCATCAAAATAGCATATTGTACATGGGATCAAAACAAGATTGTATTTTTTATCATCATTTTGCCCATCCCTGGTTTCAGAGTAATTAAAATATTGCACTGCTGCCATAGCAGTTAGCCTAAAGTTGGTGTATCTGTAGACTACTTTTGCCCATGCTGTAAAAGTTACTTCATGATCGAGAAAAACTCACATTCTGAAATGATGACAGAATTGCTCTTTTCAGTCTTCACCAGTCCATTCCAGCCATAGCATGAGTAGACTCCACCTTCATGCACAGTGATTGTGTGGGATGACCTCCATATTAACATCTCATTAACATCACTGTTATGGTGCACCACATATTGGCCTTCAAAATCCTCTATGGAACAGTTGAGCATCACTGGGCTGGTATTTTGGGAGACTGTCAGCAGAACTTTACGTCTTCTTTCTGCAGGGGACATAATGTCAAATAATTTAACACAACACACAACTCAACATATACTCTTTTAGATCAATGATATATTTTAAATACACAATAACGGGGGTGTTAGAAAAAATATATTTATTTCCTAAACTTTTTTTCTGGGGACCCATTTTTTAAAAGTCACAAAACTTCGCGACCCAAGTCAATAGACATTTATCATAAATCACAAAAAAAAAAAAAAAGGTGGATTTGACCATTATTGAACATTAATGAGGATATTTTATTGTTGACGGAGTGATCGTGTCTCTCTGAACTATTAGTAATACTCAAATTTTAAACAATGAAAAACATTAATTGAACCAGCAATAAAAGGATCCATAAGTCGCCTATTTGGAGATTAAATGTAGCCCAGTTCTTTTTCTTTTCAACATTCAAATGGACCAGCAATGTTGGAAGAAAATAATCAATAAAATAATTACAAAAAGATTAGAAATCATACAAAACATGTCGTAACATTTCAACATGTGTCAGAGCTGTATATTGCAGACCTACATGCAGATCGTAAAGTCTTTGGGAAACAATGATTTAAAGGGCCCACATTACTGTATTTTCTGATCAGATGTACTTGGAGTTGTGTTTTGTTTCATTCACACATGCAGACAATGCACAGTTACGCTTCTCTCAAACTGAAAACACTCTGATCCACCTTGTGATGTAATGAGGTAATCCAGGAAGTTCTACACACCTTCACTAGAATCATTTGGATGATTTCAGCTGTGAAATCAAAATTTTTTTCTAAACAAAAGGTAAGAGGTTAACTTAAAAACTACCACTAAATGACATCACAAGGGGGAACAGAGCATTTTAACCTTGGGGATGTGGACAGACTAATAATAAAGGATTACTCAAACATGTGTAAATGAAACTAAATTGAATTCCAGGCATGTTTTTGACATTCATTTGACAGTAATAGTAATAGTGCATAGTAATAAGGCTCCAGTGTTACATGGACTTTAATTTATTTCAGAGTCAGTGTAAAAATAAAATCATGTACTTTTGTAGGAGACTTCCAAAAATGGCAATATATCATCTTTGTTATCAGTACTGGGGCATATGATTAGGGGTGTCAAATTATCGCATTAATTGCGATTAATTAATTACAGTCATATTTAGCGCGTTATGTTTTTTAATCGCGTTAATCTCATTTTTAATCTCTAACTTTACTGTTTCTGTATGTGAGTTGCTTTATTATAAAATCAGTTTTTATGTGTTGTTGGGACAACAACACACACACACACAAAACACATTTATACATTTTTTTTATTTCGGTAATTCCACTCATTGCCGGAAACCCACACAAAACGCGCGCAGTAAGAGCGATGTAAACGTCATGTTCACGTTGGCGGCGTCAGTCGCACAATGGACGAGGTGGAAGAGCCAGTAGAACAGAGGCAGCAGTGCACAGGGAAAAACACATTCGTGTCTTGGAAATTATTCTCCCAACATGAAATATAAAAGAAAAGAACAAATATAAAATCGCCTACAACTTAAATGTCACTGGTGAAAACAACCTGCATAGACTCATGATGTCTGCACTACTGTCCTATACACACACACACACACACAAACACAAACACAAACACAAACACACACACACACACACACACACACACACACACACACACACACACAAACACACAAACACACACACACACACACACACACACACACACAACACACACACACACACACACACACACACACACACACACACACACACACACACACACAAACACACACACACACACACACACACACACACACACACACACACACACACACACACACACACACACACACAAACACACACACACACACACACACACACACACACACACACACACACACACACACACACACACACACACACACACACACACACACACACACACACACACACACACACACACACACACACACACACACACACACAAACACACACACACACACACACACACACACACACACACACACACACACACACACACACACACCTTCATCATCGTCATTAACCTGAGAACGCGCGGATCACGTTTACTTCCGTAGTTACTGCGCGGACGCCGCTGTCCTCCCGTGCGCCGCGTGTGGACCTGTTTTCTCGCTACGCTGCGTAAACCGCGCTTCCTCCTGTGCGCCTCTAAACCAGAACTAACACCAAGACTAAAACCGGGACTAACCCAGTCCATGACTAAACCAGGTCTAAACCAGAACTAAAACCAGAACTAAAACCAGGTATAAACCAGGTCTAAACCAGGACTAAACCAGGACTAAACCAGAACTAAAACCAGAACTAAAACCAGGTCTAAACCAGGTCTAAACCAGGTCTAAACCAGAACTAAACCAGAACTAAAACCAGGTCTAAACCAGGACTAAACCAGGACTAAACCAGAACTAAACCAGAACTAAAACCAGGTCTAAACCAGGACTAAACCAGAACTAAAACCAGGACTAAACCAGGACTAAACCAGAACTAAAACCAGGTCTAAACCAGGTCTAAACCAGGACTAAACCAGGACTATACCAGGACTAAACCAGAACTAACACCAGGACTAAAACCAGGACTAAACTAGGACTAAAGTAGGACTAAAGCAAGTCTAAACTAGGACTAAAACCAGGACTAAAACCAGGTCTAAACCAGGTCTAAACCAGGTCTAAACCAGGACTAAACCAGGACTAAACCAGAACTAACACCAGGTCTAAACCAGGTCTAAACCAGGTCTAAACCAGGACTAAACCAGGACTAAACCAGGACTAAACCAGGACTAAACCGGAACTAACACCAGGTCTAAACCAGGTCTAAACCAGGTCTAAACCAGGTCTAAACCAGGTCTAAACCAGGACTAAACCAGAACTAACACCAGGTCTAAACCAGGTCTAAACCAGGTCTAAACCAGGTCTAAACCAGGACTAAACCAGGACTAAACCAGGACTAAACCAGGACTAAACCGGAACTAACACCAGGTCTAAACCAGGTCTAAACCAGGACTAAACCAGGACTAAACCAGGACTAAACCAGGACTAAACCAGGACTAAACTAGAACTAACACCAGGACTAAAACCAGGATTAACCCATTCCAGGTCTAAACCAGGACTAAACCAGTGATTTCATATATAAAGCATTTCTCTATCAATAATATTTTTCATATGGTTAAGGAAAGACTGGACTTTTTATTGTCTTTAAGTAGACAAAAGTTATTATGTTCAGATTTCCTCGTCTTTACTACTTTACAGCAAACAGTTTCTTATTCATGGAGACTTGGGCTCAACAGCCAATTTGGAGACATTTGTTAAACAATAAATGACTTTATAAAGTCACTTTTTTTTGTTCTATATCAGTCTTTTGATCTGCCACAATAATGTAATAATGAATTTAAATGAAAATACCTCAAACTGAAGGCTTTTCTCAGCAATTTTTAGGTGAGATTAAAAATAGATTCATTAGATTCATTAATTACAGATCATAATTAATTAATCTCTCTTTTTTTTTTTTTTTATCGCATGACAGCACTACATATGATATATTGTTTGGTCACATGTGAATCATGATCACTTGTTTGATATCAATATTGTGATTTAAAATATCCAAAATATAAAATAATAATCAATAGATTATACTTTAACTACACAGCAGACAAGAACATGAAAACTTAAACCAAAATGTAGGTAAATACAGCAAAAGACATAACTACTGTATACTTACTTATTATTGTCAGTGCCGTGGGTGTGATCTGTACTCCTTGGTCTGAACAGGAGTACTTCACACTTTCCTTTGGTTTGGTATTTGTTATTGTCAGGGAATGGATGACATTAGAATTTTGTGGCAGGGGGGCTCCACTTTGGTTTTTCTGACAGTTGAAGTAGACAGTGTCTTCATAATAAACTGTCGTCTTGGGATTAGTCACATCATTTCCTTCCACAAAAAAAAGGGGAAAAGAATTTGGATTGAGTGAGTGAATTTACAAATATTACACTAAGTTCACAATTTACTAGGTCACAATAACAAAATATGAAATGTTATATACTGCTGACGTAAATATAGATGATAAACTGTACTACTGAAACTAATTTATGCTACTGACACACTAACCCAAGAGCAGATTTAAACCCTAAAAACTATAATCTACAATATTTTTAGAAAATCAAGAGCTGCAATTAAGAAATAGTTCTTCATTCAAACTTTCACAGCCAAAAAATAATGTCCCAGTAGTACAAAGAAAAAGTATCAAATATTGACCGTAAAATTATCTTGTTCCATTATTTTTCTATTTTATTTGTATTTGTACATATACATTTATATAATTATTTATTATCTGACACTGGTCTCTTGCTATTTTTTTGCTACTTCCATTTCCTCTTTGTTATTATAAAAAGTATTTTGATGCGTGAGCTACTGTGTCGAAGTGTCCAAGTAATGTCCCTTGTCGATCAACAAAGTTTGTCTATGTCTAAGTCTAAGACAAGTCTTCAAGTTACCTTTTGTCATCCCCGTGAGGACAGCAAAAAACACTGAAATAAGAAGAAAAATTATTGTGAAAAAATAAATAATTAAATCATGTTTTTGTATTAAATATTTTGATACTTACAAATCAAGTCAAGTGTCCAGAGCAGATTGCAGGCCATCTTCACATCGAGCACTAAACTTATCAAAATGACAATATAAAAATTGTCTTAAAAACAAGAAGAGGGGAAGTTTGGTTTGTTGGGTGATTTCCATGTGTTCATATTCTAACTCAAGCGAACTTCCTTTTTCTGACCTTGAAGAGAAATTCTTTCTATGAATTTGTTCAATGCCAAATAAGTCCACAGCCTTCTTGCTGATTCAGCCACACAGTTGTGATACAAATCTGGTTCTGGTCTTTCTTCCCATGAAGAGTAATTGCTCCGTCTTAGATATCACTATAGATATTGTTATGACAAAACCTATAATGATGCACCTTTAATGTAGTATGCACTCATCATTATTATTATTTTTTTTTTATTAATGGTGGACTGGGCAACCTTTCTAATGCAGGGACTGCTATCTACTTGTCTCCATGGAGATGTTATTGCTTTGCTTGGTATGACATTAAATATACACATCTTTCTTTCATATTTATTCATTATGGGTGTTTCTATTGCTTAGAAATACAATAATTCCTTCTGTTTATAGGGGCACCTCTCCACCGATCTGAACTGTAAGGTAGTATTGCAGTAACATGCTTGTCTCCCTTGCGACAGGTAGTTTTAATCTATACTGTGGAACATTCTGGACAGAGCAAAAACATTTCTATGGAGAACAAGCAGGTGGACACTAGCCAGGCTGGTGCCACCTAGTGCCTCCGCTCAATTTCATTTCTCTCCAGTGACTAGCTCAGGAATCGGAATACACAAGACGGTTTGCAAGAACACCGGAAGTGCGAGTTTAGGCACCAGCCAATTAGCAAAGAGTCATACATTCTGTGTTGGCAATGATTCCCAAGATCGAGGATTTAAAGCCGGAACAAAGAGAATGTTTGGTGAATTTTATCATGGGGAAGACATTATTGTCCTTCTTCCTACAGGATTTGGGAAAAGCTTAGTATACCAATTAGTCCCGTTAGTGGCTCATTACATACGTCACGATCAAATAGCAGCGACTGGTTAAATTAAAAAAGTACCTACCTACCGTCAAGCAAACTAATTCTAATGCTGTGAGGTCAGATGTTTCCAGGAAGTGAAACCAGCTGATGAATCAGGCTCGTTGGATACAGCCCTATACCTATTTTTCCCATGTATTTGACCAAAATGAGGTCCAAATATGTCCTCTGTGTACTGTCTGCATCTAACCATGAAGCGTTTTATTATTTAATACTCAGGAAGTGCACATTAGCATGCTAGTTATTCTTAGCTTTACTGTGACTGCAAAACACTCTTTATTGTCACCAGTGACATCAGTTCCAAACAATAATGTTGAGACAGAATTATTTATCTAATCACTAACACTTGAGGACACAGAGGAGGGAGGCTTTTGTCCTGTGTGTGTTACTGTCCTCAAACTGCCCTGACACAGATCTGCTGACCCTACCAGACCAGTGCTCCTGTTAAAGTGGACTGAGACTTTTGACAGAGACACAAAGGCAACTGAGAAGCACAGTGAAAATGTTGCTGCAGCAAAACTTGAATTTTCCTTTAGATCAATAAAAGTATATCTCTATCTTAAACCCGCCCTTTTTAAAATATGTCTTCTATTTGTTTATCCATTTTTAAATATAGGTGAATTATGTCTCAGAGAGCAATGGTAGAATGAGGGGTTTCTCATATTTAGAAGGCCTATATGTGTGGATAAACAAATAAACAATACATGGCTTCTATAATAAAGTGGTGTAACATCTGTTGCTATTATTGTGGTAATCCTGGACAAGAGCGATGTAATGAGTCAGCTCCTAGAGGGAATACAGACCTGCAGTTAAAAGCTTGTGTTCTCATCTCAAGTAATTGGTGAAACCATTTATTCCCATTTGGCAGAAATATAATCACGTCGACATATGTGCCTGCTCAATATCAGACTAGTATCAGATAGAGCCATTACTGATGCATGTATTCATATGTCTGAGCACACGCAGGGGCCACGGGAGACACTGGCACAGCGAGATTTGATCACATTGTCTATATGGTAAAATTAGGAGATAAAGTGATATTAAAAAAATCACAGAAGAAAGAACGTAAACAAGAGAAGATATTAAAGCTTGTTGTTGAGGTATATACTTCATAGCAATTTCAGACAAACTAATTTTAAAGAGACAGATAGGAATTGGAAATGGACACAAGACATCATTTCCCAGTGAGCCAGAGTGTTGGAGACATGTGAAGACACTTTTTAAAATATTCTATCCAGTCCTTGTATTTGCAGAGATCACTGGTGCTAGGCTAGTGCATGTCAATGGCCATAGTTAGACTGACACTAAAAACAGTTTTACGCACTCCACAAAACACCCGAAGCAAATCTATTATTACACCAGACTGTCGATGTGAATGTCTGTGTTGATAGAATAATGTTGAAAATAAAACTAACATTGCATCGCATGAATTGTTGCATGTTGAGGGACTATTTTCTCAGTAGCATCGGAATTTTACTTTGTCGGTAAGATAGGTGCTAGGTGATATCAGTCCACTTCTGCCAAGCTTTCTATCAGGAAGTACAACTCACTGCTGCTCAGATATAAATCCTTCAAATGCAAGGTTGGTTTTACTTCTAAAAGTACTCTATTGACCTAGACATTCACATAGATGATCTGTGAATCTAAATATTTTGTGGAGTGGGTAAAACTGTTTTTAGTGGCAGGAGAACTGTCACCATTGACATGCACTAGCCTAGCACCAGCGACCACTGCAAATACAAGGACTGAATGGAATAATTAAAAAAGTGTCTCCACACGTGTTCAACACTCTGGCTCACTAGGAAACGAGGTCCTATGTCCAAAATTCCAGACTGTCACTATAATAAAGGGATGAACAAACAAAAATGAGTAAAGAAAACAGAGCTGGATGGAATGTCAAAAAGTGACTTTTGCCATTGAAATCCACCATGTTTGAAGCAGTAGTGCAAAACATCCATAGGGAAAGATACATTAGCAAGAACACTATATCTATATAAACTGTACAAAAAGAGCTGTTTAAGATGCCAGTAAGATGCTGGGACCTTACCATTTATCACAGTACAGTAGTAGTCAGAATACTTTTGAATGAAGGCTAGGTTTAGTATTTAGTATCAAGCTTGGGGCTTGGAGATATGTTAACTGAAAATTGTAAGATGTATTCAGTTAAAGTTTAATTTCCCTTATTTTTAAAGCATTTCCTTTATTTGATCATAGTCTATATTTACTATTATTCTTCAATGCACCATATCAAAAAGCAAGTTCCTAGTCTGTGTACTTTGTTCACTGAAAATTACAACAGATTCTGAAATGCAGAGCAGCAAAGGACTGTGATAGAACTCATGAAGTTTAAAAATCTCGGGTGCTTGCCCGGCGCTCCCCATTTGTTTGACAACTTGTGCCTTCTGTATTTGCATGCTGTGTGGTATCTGGCACCTGATTGGTGGGGTGCGGTCCCGTCGCTGTTGGGTTGGCTCCGATGTTCGTCATGCCGTGGTTGGAGGATTGACGATTGACAACCGCTCATCCAATAAAAGTCCCGTGCGCCTGTTCCTCCGGGCAGCTAGATTTCAGTATCAGCTCGGCGAACTCCTTGATAGATGTGTCTCTTGTTGCCTCCTATTGCTAACTGAGACACTAGAGGTCGTTATTGACCTATTTTTTTTTTTTGGAATTGCCCTTGAGCATTTGTATTTTCTTTGATTTATCTTTATCCCATAAGAGTTATTGTTTAGTTGTATTGGGATTTTTTTTATTAATCTTATGTAAAACACCTTTTTGTTATTTATTTTGTTATGCACTTATTTACATTTACCTTATGAAAGCCATTTAATATTACATCGCATATTGTTTGTGTTATTGTCCTTTGAGCACTGGTTTGTAACATATATGCACAATCTTTAATGTTCTTTTCAACTAGAGTTAATCAGAGATATGTCTTGTACAATGTCTTAACCAAAACAAGCTGATAGGGCTCAATCATCTGTAAGCATCACTTAACAGTAGCCTTAAATCACTGTCAGCTCCCATTGTTTGGGTTTTGTTGGAGCAGCCACTTAGCAGCTCCTTGTGACCTTGGCGTCTGAGTTAGCATGCATGGGCGCCTGGCAACCCGACGCTTTGATGTGCCTACTGTCTCCCCTGCTCCATCCATGCATGAGCTACGTAAAGATTTCCTGTCCAGGTCAATCATAGCAGACCGCGGATAGATCGAGTGAGACAGGCGGACCCCCCCCTCGGCCGACAACTTCGCGGGACCCCTCGTAGACGCCTCACCTTCTCAAGCTTTGTTCAACCTTGGCAATGAGCTCGGAGGCTAGTTTGAGTAATTTCTTCCCTCTGCTCTTGAGACACTGCTTCAAAGAGATCTGCATGTAGATTAAAGCCAGAGCGGGGTGTGGAGTTTACCCATAGCACGTTAGCATTCAGCGCAACAACCTCCTCACACTATAAAGCCATGGGACGTCCCAGGGTTACTATAGTTGTTTAATAAAGAGATGAAAATAATAGATCAAAAGTCCATCTGTCAGATCATAAGCACAATAAAATCTATGGAGGTTTGAAGTTGCAGTAAACTTTATTCTAGATTCATTTTGAAATAGATTTGTGCACAAGGGAAGGGGTATACAAGCGTACGATGAGTAAAATATAGTCAGTTTGTCTATTACTTTGTCTGTAATGTTCCACAGGTTGGCATTAAATGTGTCTGTCATTTATTTTATTGTTTTATTGCTTCAAAGTACCGTAAAAATATGCACTGCTACTGTGAGCGGGGTTGCCTTACGTTTTCGGGAGCCTGTGATCAGTACGAACGTTTATGGTTCCGTTTAGGTGTTTGATTTTCAGCAAAAAAAGGGAGATTGACTAACTGAAAAACTGTCGACTAATGTTAATCAGATTGTGACTGTAATTTTACGTGTGAGAGACAGCACAAATCATCTCACTTGATGCACTTCCAACTCTCCAAGTTAGCTCTTTCAGGCCAGATTGTGTTCAAATAATGCTAGGGTGACCAGAATTTCAAAATCAAAAACTGGGACACTCTCGG